GCAGCACCGCGGCCACCGCCTTTATGGGCCGGTGGCGTCACCGGGCACACGTGTCCCCGGCCCAGCGCGGGGCCATGCGCGGGAGGGCAGCGGGGCCTTGAGCGGGGCCACCCCCCCGCCGCCCCGCGGCCTTGGCAGCTGGGAAAGAGGCGTCGGAGCGCCACAAAGGGAGGAAAAGCAGCGCCCGCCGCGGGATAAGGCACCTGCCGCCGCCTGGGAAAGGAGCAGCCTCCCCCCGCGCCGCAGCCTGCGGGGACATGGCCGCCAAGCCAAGGGTGCCCAGAGGGAGCTGCCAGCTGCTGTGAGACCCCCAGGCAGCCCGGAGCGCTGGCCCGAGGACACATCCCAGAGGACACGTCCCAGTCCATGATGCCCCTCATTCATCCCAGGATGCGGTGCCCGCAGTGCGATGGGAAGCCCCTCCCGTGCCAACGGCATCACACTGTGACCCCAAAACACATCCCTGCCGGAGGCCAGGGAGGGAGATGTCCCCAGGAGAGCATTTCGGTGGCACACATAGTCCTGGGCAGGAGATGTCCCTATGGGAGCATCCCGGTGACACGTGTGGTCCTGAGAAGTGGCAGCCCTCTGGACAGCAACCTGGGCATTGAGCCCCCGGGACAGAGCAGTGTCCAGGTGCCCCCAGACACCACTGTTTTTCCCACCACCATTTTGCAGAAGATGGGGGGTTTGGAGAGCTTGTTGAAACAGTATCCACTTCCCAGCTCCCTCTTAGCCCGTTTGACTTCATCCAGAGAGTCTCTCTGTTAATTAACACCCTTAATACAGAGAGGATTGGCCACCTGGAGCAACAACTTTGTGAACACGCCACAGGAACGATCTATTGATTTATTCCCCTCGGTAGGGATGGCAAAAGCTATCAAATACAGGATGCAAGCGAATTGTCAGGAAAAGGAGCCCAGAAACCACTGCTTGGCACCCAAAAAAACAGGCCTAAAAGATAATAATAATAATAAAAGAAAACAGCTTATCTTCTAAGAACTCCAGGCCTCTGTTTGTGCCTCCCACATGTCCCAGCTAGACGCGGGCCGGGAACGCAGGGGAGGGACGGTACCAGCAATACCCCAGCGCACTGTTTGTGACCGGCACAGCCGGGGTGAGGGTGCCCCAAGAACCCAGCCTGCTCCGCAGCCGGCACGGCCGTGTCTGCCCCCGGGGCACCCCCAGGGCCTGTCCCCGCGGGAGCTGCCCGCCGTTCCGCTCCACGCAGCCGCTGGGGAGCAGCCCACGGCTGCAGGACGGGCCCGGCAGCTCGTCCCGCTCCTCTCCAGGCACCGGGAGCTTTCGGGAGACCCAAGGGGGCGCGGGAGGAGGTGAGGACCCCCACTGGGAGATGCGGTTGCCCACGCCATAGCCACCCCTTTCCACAGCGCGCAGAGCAGCGCCGCTGCCAGGCCCAGCAGCGCTGCAGCATCACAGCTGCTCGTGGGCATCACGTCAGTCTTTTTTTTAGCTGCTTAATAAGGCATACCGGGAAGAAACAATGAGTACGCCTGTATCATCTCTGCTCCAGCTACGTGTAACTTCGCAGGAAAAGCCTCTGATTCACCATGGCTTGTGAAATGAGCCTGGCTCGAGAGGCTCCCAGAACTTTCACAGCTCCTCCCAAACCGCCCTTGGCCGGAATTCTCTTTTCTGCAGTGAATTCAGCTTTCCGGTTTCCTGCAGCCCACAGGTCTGTCTCCTCCTCTGCATCTCCAAGGCTGCACCTGCGCTTGGCTGCTGCTCCCGGGCCCATCCGGAGCCGGGACCAGCTTGCCCAGGGCAGCCCTTCCCACCTGCAGGATGCAGCGCCCTGCACCGAGAGGCCTCCTGCACCCGCAGCACTGCCCCAGAGTCACCATCGCCTGCCCCGTTGCCTGCTCCAGCGTTTGCCGTAAAAGCTCACGCACG